CATATGGTTTTCATTTTTTGAGCAATTATATTTTTCATACTATATTTATGTCATATTTTTAATAAAGGAAAAGCCTACCAACACATGTAGGGGTGGGTTGGAAAAACCGAAAACCGAAAAAAAATCAAACTGAATACTGAATCGAAACTCAAAAAACCCGAACAGAAAAAAAAAACCGAACCAAAAGTTATTGGTTCGGTGATTCAAAAACTAAATCAAACCGAACCGAACCGAATTAAATATAATTAAGTTTATTTATTTATTTAATATTTGAGCTCAATTTAAGTTTAGACCCAAGTTTTAGCTTTTGTTTTAGGCCAACCATTAACACATAATCCAAGTCCTTTTTATTTTCCCCACCCAACCCTCTTCTTTCTTCCATTTTTTTCTCCCCATCCGACCCTCTGCTTTCTTCCTTTACTTTCTTTGAAATGGAAAAACTACAAGCAAAGTTGTAGAGCATAGACCAATTTTCAAATTAAAAAAAAAAAGGTTTTATAAAAAAACTGAACCGAAACCAAGCCCAAAAATACCAAACCGAACCGATTGAAGCCAAACCCACCCCTAAACACATGTGAGTCACATCTATATTAGAGAGGTGCTAAGGGTATTTCATTAAGGATAGTACTATTAACACAACTCTTTTACCTTCCACACGCTCTTTCTATTTTTTATCTATTGATCTTTTTCGATTTATTCGATCTGACAGCCAAAAATTAATAAGAGTGTGTGATAGATAAAAATAAGTGTAAGTACACTGTACAACACCACACTTTCATTAATTGTCACAAATAAACATAATAGTGCCATTTGAGGATCAAGAAACTGATATAAGAATGAATTTTGTACAAATAAGCGTAATTCTCAATGAGAGAGCGTTTTGAGCAAAACGAGCCCGTAGGCCCAATTAGTTGTTTGGACCAATCGCTGAGAGAGATTAAAGAAACCAAGAGGCACCACCGATGAGACTATCAGTATATGGAATTTGACTCTTTCATTTGTTGAGGCCTTTCTAATTTGGTCAGTGCTTCATTGCTTCCATTTGGGTCGTTGAATGAATCATTTGGACTTCCAATTTCATTGCTTGTCCAACAAACGAATAGTTAGAGTATTGCAAAACGAACCGGTAGGCCCAACTAGCTTTTAAAACATTGCATATCATTAGATGATATGAATTCACGAGATCATAATAAAAACAAGGGTAAATTACATAGTAATTCTCAGGTTTAAGATCTATTATAACCTCATACAATATTTTAAAAATATTTTACTTTCATACCTCATGTATTATTTTATTTCAACATAATATATCCGTTAGATTTTTCATCCATTAATCCGTTAAATGCTGACATAGCAGCCCATTTGTGCTGCTATGTGGCAAAAAAATTAATTTTTTATACATTAAAAATATTATAATATTAACCCTATTAATAAAAAAATTCACAAACCCAGAATCCCATCCCCCTCGGGGCCGCGACCCACATCCCTTTCCTCCACTCTCTTCCACATCTCACTTTCCAAGTTTTAAGCAACAACAACCGAATTTGGCAATTTCAATTCACACCACAAATCACCCGATTTTACACAGTTTCTATTAAATACAAGTGATAAAAAAAAATGGATAAAAGACAAATCAAAGGGGTACCCAGATGAGCCCCCAATCAGCAACCACCAAATTAGGTTTCAAAATTCAAAATTTCAATTTTTTTCATTTGTGGGCAACATTTTCTTGGGAAACAAACAGTTGAGAACCCCACCTGGTAATGCAATTGGGCCTCTCCTGGAGTCACTTAAACTCCGGCATACTGTCGAAGTACCTCTCCATCATATCAAGGAAGCGATTGTTGTCATCTGTCGTACATATGGGATCCTTTACCAACTGAGCTCCCGTTTCTCTCAGACTAACCTCGCCACACAACTCCTTCACACCGGCCTTCTCCGATTCCAAGTACGCGCTCAGATCTACCACCGTTAGCTCCATCTTCCTTCTCGATCCCAAATCCAAAAAATTTAATACGAGACTTGATTTTTGAGGGCTTATAAATGTTTGGGGATGGTGGGGTGGGTTTGGGGGTTGAGGAGAAGGGGTTGGGTGGTTGGCTCCCCAAGGAGTCGTCGGACTCGAGAAACATGGCAGGAGGTTGGGGGAGGCGAGGCAGGAGAGGTCGAGGTTGGAAGGGTCCAGGATGAGGGAGGAGGGAGGGAGGCGAGGCACTAGACCTCAAAACCACACTCGCATCTTAAATTCCACATTTTACAGAGGAGAGATAGAGGTCGAGGTGGGACCCGAGCTGAGGGGTGCTTGGGTGGAGGGGATGGATGGACCGACAGGAAGAGATGAGTAAAGGGGTGGGGGTGGGATGTGGGGTTGCGGGGAAGGATTTATAGGTTTGGGTTTTTGTTTTTTAATTTTTTTAATAGGGTTAATATTATAATATTTTTAATGTATAAATTTTTTTTGCCACGTGGCAGCCACATCAGTATAAATGTGGCAACCATGTCATCATTTAACGGATCAATGGATGAAGAATCTAATGGATGTATTATGTTGAAATAAAATAGTACGTGAGGTATGAAACTGAAATGTTTTAAAGATGTTGTATGAGGTTGTAATAGACCTCAAACCTGATGGTTACTATGTAATTTTACTCAAATTATACAAGTCATTCAATACTCCTAACATTCAAACAACCACGAGCTGGTGGTCTAGTGGTAAATGACGGATTACGAGACTTCCTTAAAACTAAAAACTAGAGGTCTCGAGTTTGAAACCCACTGCTTCTGTAGAAGCCAGACTTGTGGCCAAGAGAAGGCTGAAATGCCTTTGTGGATCTTCCCGACCCCCAGAAAAGGTGAATAAGCCACTAGTTGTCTCCCTTTGAAAAAAAAAATATACTTGTAACATTTAAACTACGTAGCGTAAAATAATTTCAACTAACAATATGACATGGTTATAATATTTTGGGTAAATATCAGTTTACTACTCTCAAGTTTCGTGGTTTTCAACATTTAGTACATGAAGTTTTTGTTTGTCCCAAAGTCATACCTAAAGTGTTAATTTTAGGACAGTCTCATACATCTATTAATCTGGATGTTAGGTCTCATGTTAACTAATGATGTGGAGCCTATGTGGACAATGATTGGGCACCAAGTGTCATTAAGGGGTCCACATGGGAATTAAAAATGTTAAATTAATAAAATAATTAGTTAAATAAATAAATAAAATGCGCATAACCCCTTCATCTTCCCCATGTCCCCTACCCATTTCCATACCCCTGCCACCACCATCAATTTCAACCTCAACCACCGCGACACCGTCGACCCCAACGAATCAGACCTCACCGAGGAAGATCACACAGAAAGGGATTAAATTAAATTAATTTACAGAGATTGGTGGTGGGATTCTGTGGCTACTTCGGTGAAGGTGAAGAGTGGCAACAACTTGTAGGATGGTTCTTCAAAGGGAAATATTGGATAATCTGTTACCAAGAAGAAGATTGAGAGCTTTTCAAGCAAGCAGGCAGCTGATTCCAAGCAAAAATCTATGCAAATTGTTACAAAAACTGAGGTAAAACCTAGGTCAAATTTCATTGACCTTCAAGTTGTGATGTTTGGATTGGTTTTTCAATTGGGTGAATTGGGTTTGTGGGGTTGTGAATTGATTTAGTTGTTTCGAATGAATTAGGGGATGTTCTAATTTGGAATGTTAATTAATTTGGATAATTAACAATGACATAGTGAAATTTGTGGTTCTGATTTGCTTGTTCTTAGTTTTTTTAACTTACGTGATATTCTTCAGCGAGGTTAGGGCCTTCTCAATTTCGAACATAGGGAGACCGAATCGGGTTGGGTTGGTATGGAAAGATTAGGTGAGGAATGGGTCGGGTTGGGTATGGAGGGGTTGGGGAGGGATGGGTTGGGTTGGGAGAATGACGAGTGCAAGTGGGGAGAGGGACGGAGGAGAGAGACCGAGTTAGCAAGGACGAAGGAGGAAGAAAGGGTCTGGGCGATGGGGAAGGGTTCAGAATCTTCACCCACAACGGAATCAAAATCTCCGCCTTGAGATCTGGGAGTATCGTCGCCTCATAGCTTCGAGATCTCCGCCCCGAGATCTGAGAGTATCATCGCGCACAGCCGATCACTGCTCCCTCGAGCTCACGGGGGGATGAGGGTTGAGTAGGTGGAGTCGAATAGGGAGGGGGAATGATGGTTGTGCAGAGGAGAAAATGGAGGGAGAAGGGTCGGGGGTTTGAGGAAGAAGACATTTTTTATTTTTATTTTTGTAATTCTTTAATTTTTATCATGTTTAATTTTTAATTTTTTTAATTTTTAATATCCACGTGGGACTTTTATTGACACGTGACGTCCAGTCATTGTCCACATGGGCGCCACATCATCAGTTAACGGGAGACTTAACAGCCAGACTAACGGATGTATGAGACTGTCTCAAAATTAACACTTTAGGTATGACTTTGTGATGAAAAAAACTTCATATACTAAATGTTGAAAATCACAAAACTCGAGGATAGTAAACTAATATTTACCCTAATATTTTTACCCTTCGACCTGGATAATTAACCCATACAATTACCCCATCCACCAAAAAAGAAAAACTGATACCGTTACCCACAGATAGATCCGCTCAATACAATCGGCAAAAACACATACAAAGAATAGAAACGGCGTTGAAAAACTGCCAATCCGAAGAGTCCATTACGCCCGGGAAAAAAATAAAAAACGATCCTTTATCTCTTAAAACACGGCGTCCTATTTTTCCATCAAATCATCACCCACAATAAAATATCACCCAAAATTCCCTTACGTCAACGTCTTCGATGTCGTACACGTTCGCTCACACCAATCTTTCCGTCCACCGTGTCACACCCTAAACACACCCCTGCCAGGTTGATAAAAATAGAAAACGTATGCCCCCGGTCACAGGAAATCCCAAACGACAAGTCAAGTCCCATCAGCCGGCTCCCGATCTGAGAACAAAATGTGAGCACAGCCGTCGACGATAAGATCAACGGCTCCAGCTGCCCCGTGTCTAATCTGATCTCAACCGTCCATCGCTCCTCGTCGTATTACTAGTTACACACCCGCGCCACGCGGTATCAATCTCTCTCTCTCTCTCTCTCTCTCTCCCGGCGAGGGACAAAAGCGAAGTTGTGGAAGAGCTCGCGAAGACTGAGTTGCTGACTCGTAACTCGTTCGGACTAGGGCGAATCTTCGCGGGGCTTGGCGCGAGAGGTTTGTTGCGACGGCAGAGCTGGCGAAGGCCACGGCGGTGATGAGAGGGAGCGTGTGGAACCGTAGGACGGTACAGAGGCTGCGGCAGCTGCTGATCTCGACCGTTGGATCGGTGAAGGTCAAGCTTCTGCTGTGCTGTTGCATCGGATTCACGCTCATCGTGCTCGCCAGTCGAGCTTCGGATTTTATGGGATGGACGAGTCACACTGCGGTTCTGGAACGGTCCTCGGATTCACGGTTCGTGCAATTGCTTAGATTTTTTTTCTTCCAAAAACTCCGCATATCCGTATTAGTCGCTAATTATTTGATTAGTCAAGCTTCCACTTGCACATCACTGTTAATCACTCTATTTTTAGTAAATGATTGAGCTCGGTGTTTGTATATTGATGTTCTACTTTCTTTTAAATTCTATATTAAGAAAGATTTGAATACAATCCCAAACTTCTCTATACTTTTGGATTAGTGATCTTAATTGGAGTGTTGAGAATAATTTCCATATTAGATATAATCCATGGGGTCAGGTATATTTTTTCTTAATTTATTTTAAGAATTTTGATTCCAAGGATTGAGGGCGAGCCTTGTTGCAACGGAAAGGTTGCTCCTTGTGACCGAGAGGTCATAGGTTCGAGCGGGAGCTTGTTGGCTTGGGGCCGCCTTTTGATTCCGATGGAAATGGAGCGTTAGCTATTAAAGATATGGTCACTTTTCTGCTTCAACCCCATTTTTTGATTTGGGAAAGACTGGGAAGATTAAGCTGACTTTGTGTTGTTCTCGTTTTCTAAAGAGCACGTTCCTAGAATTTTTCCGATGTCTTATTGTTGATTGTTTCGTAGTAGAGAGATACCGTTTATTAAGTATTCATGCTGAAATTTGCAATTTGTATGCAGGAAAGGATATTCTATTGTAATGAACACATGGAAGAGATATGATCTTCTGAAGCAGTCTATTTCTCACTATTCTCGATGCCCTCGGCTTGATTCAATACATATTGTGTGGAGTGAGCCAAGTCCTCCGTCCGATTCTCTGACAAAATTTCTGGATCACATTGTACATCTGAACACGAGAGATGGGCGACAAGTTGAATTGAAATATGATATCAACAAGGAGGACAGTTTGAATAACAGATTTAAAGAAATTAAGGTTTTGAGAACAGATGCTGTTTTTTCAATTGACGATGATGTTATATTCCCTTGTTCTTCAGTAGAATTTGCTTTTGATGTTTGGCAAAGTGCATCGGATACAATGGTTGGATTTGTGCCTCGGATGCACTGGGTTGATCCGGTATGCCTCAATCTACTACATTTTCTCGTCATTTAGAGATAATATTATCCAACGTTCTTGCTGTCTTCCCTATATTTTAAGTTTCTTGGTTGGAAAACTCATATTAATTTCTGTTTGAGGTAGAAAGTTGGTTTTGATCTATTTGAGCTCGAAACTATGTATTGTTCACTTGTTCTATACTTTAGGCGAGCCAACATTTACTGAAGAAACCCCATTTCTTATTAACAATTTAGAAAACTCTGTATGGCACACTTGTCAGCTGTATTACCAGTTTTTATGCTCACTGTGCAGAAAGGTGATAAGAATCACTACATATATGGTGGATGGTGGTCAGTTTGGTGGACGGGTACATACAGTATGGTACTGTCTAAGGCAGCCTTTTTCCACAAAAAGTACCTGAGTTTATACACAAACGAAATGCCAGCTTCAATCAAAGAATTTATTACCAAGAACAGGTTTGCCCTTTTGCTTTGTTATTTGCTTCTTACCCGTATTTATATATCTTTTGAGCTGTGTGCACACGCGAGTGCGTGGTTTTTGTTTAATTGTAAATATTTTTCACTTAATATTGGGTTGGATTTCACCAGGAATTGTGAAGACATTGCAATGTCCTTTCTTGTAGCAAATGTAACTAATGCTCCCCCTATATGGGTGAAAGGTAATCATATATCCTCTGCAACGGCATGCTTCGTTTAAAATTTTCTTTCTTGCATTTCTTTGTTCGGCCTTATATCATATGATTTGCAACAGGTAGCTATTTTGCTTAACTCACAGTCCTTATAATCCGAATTAGTTTGAAATGAGATAATATTACAGATAGATGTGTTATAAGAGTTGAAAGACAAACCATAATAAGTTCTGCATCATAAATAAGATCAAATTCTAAAAATGCAGCGGAGGAATCTTACATGGAACTTTAAGGAGAAGAGTAGGCATGTCTTAGCTGGGCAACTATCTGCTCCCTGGAATCTGCAGTGTCCGGACTACTTCTTTCACCAGCATAAATAAGAATAATAATGGAAATGCCATCAGTTTTCATGTGACTTTTAGGAGTAGACCTACGCTTCCTGTTTTCGCTACATTTTGGAAAAGAATTGACTTTCTTTTGTTGACATCTTAAAAAAAGCAAGTTATATCGGTGGCATGTAGATGCAATGAAATTGTGTTCGTTTAGGCTACACCTAGGAAAATGTGTTTTATCATCTTTTGAAAACTTGGACTGGATGTTTCTGCATATTCTAATCGTCACTTTCGTTGATGCATATACCAAGAAGTGCATTCGCAATACCTAACAACTATTAAACATTCATTTTTCATTTCTGTTGTAGTATTTTCTCCTTTGATTACTTACGTCTCGCTACACATTACTGTGCTTTTCATTCAGGTAAAATATTCGAGATTGGTTCAACTGGTATCAGTACCTTAGGAGGTCATACTGAAAAAAGAACCAACTGTGTCGATAGATTTGTTGCCGAGTTTGGACGAATGCCACTGGTACCCACATCTGTGAAGGCTGTTGACAGTCGAAACATCTGGTTTTGGTGATTTCAGAACACGCTTACATATTCCCCAGTCAAATCCTGGAACAACGAGAATTTCCACACTTTCCGTCCTGTTAAAGTTGCTACGGTACTTCTTTGTTCCTCGGATGTATAATATTTAACTCTCCGAAAATGTATGCGTTTTTGTGACAGCAGCGGCCAATTTAGCACGCCCGTATAGATTGATATTCTTGTATTCTTACCATGTAACACGAGGCAGGCAGTTGCTATATGAGTAATGAGATAGGTCTTTTCCAGTTCCAGTTCGTATTAGGTTGACGTAGAATGAACAGTATTTCTCGACGTCGGCCAGATGACCGGCGAGGAATTTACCGCGCCTCGGAATTCATACAAGGGATTCCATTTTGAATCTGTTTAGTTTAGACAAAAACTTCATCAAAACTCATTGTCAGGCTCATTTCTTATTGCGATCAAACTGGATTACAAAACTAAGAGAGGCGATAACTCCGCGGTTATTCTGGTCTAGAACGAGAATGACATTTTTATTCTCTCCATCGCATTCTTTCCTATAGATAGATAATTTACTCGGGGCCGGAATACATCCCTGGCAGTGCCGGATGTCGGTACCCCGTCAAAATTTAGAAAAATTACAAAACTTTGTTGTAGTTATCGTAGGATGTACTGAGAGGGAAGCAAGTATCTTCGGCGCCGGTGCTCCAAAGGAAATTGGCATACTTGGAGGCGTAAAAGGGATTGTCGGGCTCCTCTGCCATTGCTTGCTGGTACCTCTCTTCTGCGCCCCACATATCTTTCCTTACTAACCACAAGAAGTCTGCGTACCGGCTCAAGGCCTCAGCGTCTGGTTTCTCCCCTTGCACTGCGCGCCTGAAGCACTCCTCGGCCCTGCAAACGCAAACATAGATCACACAACACCGGTCAGCAAACTACACAGAATTTGAGTCCTTTTGTATGAAAAGCAAAAACTTAATTGGATCATAACCTAAAATCGAACTCCGTTAGAGGTCTAGTTGCTACAAAATCATCACAAATACATGGAAATGGGAATTGAAGCATCGGCGAAGCTAACCAGTCTAGTCGTCTACCAATCCTTTTCAGTCGAGTTAGGTTTATACAAACACATCATAAAACCAGAGAATGTATATAAATGCAAAATCGTAAGCACACTGAAGCAGATAGTTTGGTAAGTGATACTCACCTATCGTGATCGCGAGCCACGACATGGAGGAAATGTGCATAGTTTGAGAGCAGAAGCGCATTATGAGGATCCTGAGCTAAACCCATCTGGTACAAAAGATCAGTTCTAAAGTAGTGCTCATGATAATCCGGTTCGACATTCACAGTTATCGGTGACACAAATTTCTGCACGGTTTCGTGATCAAGAGCCTCATCCCTCGCTTCTGATTGCATTCTTGAAGCTTCCTCCATGACAGAGTTCCATAACTTCACCTCCTCCTCTGCCGTGAACTCCTCCCCATTGAACAAGGAAATGCCATACATCTTCTCGATATCAACAATGGCATGCCTGAATGAAGTTTCTGTGCTCGCATTGTCACGAAAATCGCCCTCATTCGAGGTCTTCTTCACAACCCTAGTAGAATCGTCATCGGAAACATAATCGGGTTTTGAGTAGGGTTGTTCCTCTGTCTCAGTCTCGGTCAAAGTCTCAATCAATACAGGCAGAGGTGGTGCAACGACAGCATTGCAATTCATCGAATACACGCTGAAATTCGCCAGCAAGATCATCACATAAACCATCAAAGTCGGGGACCCCGAAAACACCTGCTGAAACAACCACACAAACGACATGTTCATCTCTCGCTTCTGCACCTTGGCTATAACCTCCTGCAGATCTTCAGAGTACAAACTTTCCCTTATACTCAAGGCGTGGCTATGGAGCTCACGGATTATGAACACCATGGAAGAGAATGCCTTGTTGAGGGAGCAAAAAGTAAATTCTCCTGCTTCTCTTTTGGGACCCTCCTCCCGTTGCTGCCGCTGCTTCTTCTTGATTAGCCGGAGGGACACTGGAAACTCGAGGCTGTGGCCTTTCTTTCCATGGTGGCCCTGACTATTTCGCTTCTCTCCGGCCAGTCCGGCGGCTCCGGATGAATCCCCAGCAGAGAGGGTTCCAATGCATTGAGCTTCAAGCTTGAAAACTGCATAGAAAAGCCGCTGCCTTTGCTGTTTTGGCCTTCTGGGTACGTCGAAATCGGAGAGATTTTTGAAGTTTTCGACGCCAAGAAAGCCGGTTCCTCAACGTTCTCGTCATCGTCCTCGGAAAGATTGAACCTTTGCGCCAATTCCTCAATCTGGTTCGACAATTCTTCGTACGAAAAATCATCGAACTTCGCTCTGCAAACTTGGTTCGAAGTGCGTTGACGTTTCGAATTCCCCGACCCGGAAGAATTCAGCCAACGAACGAACCCGCAACCTAGAGCTCCATTGCTTCTTCCACTGGGTTTCGTCACAGAAGGAAAAGAAACCGAAAACGACAACCCTTTCGAAAACGAAGAAGAAATTGGTGCCGAAATCTGAAGCGAGCTCTGCCAGCTCTTAGAACAAGGGACGATTCTGGAACCCATATCTCGAAGTCAACGATCAGGATTTGGAGAAGACGATGAGAAAAGATGAAATACAGAGAGCCCAAAAACTGAAAAATGAAGGAAAAAAAGAGTGGAAAAATGGAGAAAAATCGGTTCACAGTTCACACTAGCAGTGACATGGGAAGTCCGTGTGCAACAAAAAGTGGAGCTGCCGGAGATTTTTTATTGGGTTTTTAAAGGAAACAAGGATTTGGATCCGCCAAAAAGGGTCTAACTGGGCTCCAGAAGTCGCTTCATGAATAAGTAGCTTTTGCTTCCATTTAATCCAACCTGAATAACAAGATAAAAAGCCCTAATCAGGTTATAAATTTTCAAAATCTTTGAAATCCATAATGATAAGGACTTTGGGTTTTCACACTTTTTTTCTCTTGTACTCTTTCTTTTTCTCAAGGCATTTTTGAATGAGTGCATTTTTGCTCACCATCATTTAGTGTGATGTATGCTCACTATCTTATTTATCACCGTTAGATGAGTATGAATTTTGAGATTTGTGCTTATACACTACATGAATCTTGAAATTCAAACTCTTCTAACGGTGATAAATAGGATGGTGAGCGTACACCACACTAAATGGTGGTGAGCAAAAATGCTCCATTTTTGAATAAGTGAAACAAAACATCAAGAAAATATAAATTACGCAACAAAAATAAAAGAACCGGTGCATACTGAGAGAACGTAGTGGCGAATTTCTTTGCTTATATGATAGAAACAATATTTTCGCACTCACATTTTGAAATTCTTGACCTTTCACGTTAAATAAATGAAAGGAAATCCGATGAACATAAATGAAAGTGATTATTACACAACCCACCACCTCAAATTATTGTAAAAGAAAATCCTTAAAAAAAGGCTGGAAAACAACAAAACACAAAGTGTGAAACGAAGAGAATGTTACATCAAGGGAGATTATTATTTTCCCGGCCGTGGAGAAATCATGAAATGATCTCCATTGACGATGAACACCATGGCTCGAATGGCTTCCCACCACCATTTTACGTCACGAATTGCTCTACCATGGAGGAGCAGACAACCTCAGCTTCAAATTTGGACTTTGTTTTTTTCTTCCTCCTTTTTCTTTTGTTTCTGTTGGAATTGAGAGAGAGAGAGAGAACCAAAATTTTAAATGAGAAAAAGGGCAAAAGATAGGAAGAATAAGAATAACTTACAACCTTTTCAGGGTCTTTGCTTGTTGGCCGCAGAAAGGTAGAAATTCGCGGGTGTATATTCAGTCTGTGGACCTGCATCGCACGTACGTGGAGAACACCTATTGGTCGATTACGATGATCAACGGTCCAAATTATTACTCGGATGAAAATTAAATTTTAAATTTTTTCTTTTTTTTTTTTTGGAAAAAAAAAGTTTTTGAGACCTGAGATCTCAACACAAATATTATACATCCATCCCTTTGCACGTCAACTGAATCTTAAACCTCAATTTCGTTGAATTTTAGAAATCATCTTTCTGTTTTTTAACAAAATAATTTAAAATTGAACTTTTAGTCGAGTAATAAATTAAATACCAAATCGATAATTTAATATATGGTACGTGAACTAAATTATTATTATTTTTTTAAAAGGGAAATAACTGGTGGTAAGTCACGGTTATCTATTATTTTCGGAAGTTGGGAAGACTCACAAAAGCATTTCAACCTCTTCTGACCAAAGTCTGGCTTCAACGAGTTTCAAACTCAAGACCTTCGATTTTTAATTTGAAACCTTGCAATCCGTCTTTTATCATTGAGCTGGGCCACCAACAAGTGGTTCGTGAACTAAATTAATTAGCTTTATAAAAAAAAATCCTAAATTTACAAGTTTTTCATAAAAAAAAATCCTTTTACAGTCAATAGGTTTTTTTTGAAAAAGAAAAAAAAAGGGTTGTAAAGATGTGGAGTATGTCGTTGCAGTACCGAGTCGCATGCGATGGAATTGGATCCTCGCCGGATCTAGTTGCTGGGGATCCTAGGGATCAACCCACGTGAACCGTTGATAAAAAATCGTGCGGTCACAATTAAATGTTTTAAAAGTAAAACAGTCTCGTTTTGCGTGAAAAATATAAAAAAGAAAAAAATTATGACCGCACGATTTTTAATCAACGGTCCACATGGGTTGATCCCTAGGATCCCCATGAATTAGATCCGGCGAGGATCCAATTCCGCATGCGACTACAATAACTAAGGACTTCTCCACAAGTTGACACTTGTCGACATCTGTCAGTGTCGCCACCATATGTAGACGTCTGTCAGTGTGCAAGTTGGCTCCAAATTTGCTGCACGCCAAGAGTTCAAAGAATACCAAATCAAAATGTTGAGAATGAAATTACACGTTCTTGGGAAGAGAATTTAAGTAAGTTGGGTGTTTTTTATGTTATCGATTGATTTTACAATAAAGCTTTTATTTTTTTCCAAAAACGCTAAAAGAAGAAAATCATGCAATTCTTGGTTTGAAAATTGGCAACCCAAGTAATTTTCAATCCATGATTTAAGCCTCGAATTACCAACTAATGATCTCATCGGTGCTCCATATCCAAAACCCTAGCTCCTCTTATCACCCAATTTGATCGGGAAGCACTTCTCACCAAATCTCTTTGATATGTATAATATAGATGCCTGTAAAAACTCATAGACTATCAAATTTATAACCCCAATTAGAGCATCTCCAGCAATCAAGACGAAAAAAATTGGAGGCAATTGCAAGGAAGGCAGGAGCACTTGCATTGCAGTTGCCCTGCCTTCTGAAGCCGGGGCTTGTGCCCGCATGAAAGTTTAGGGACGAATTCTAAATTTTACTCTTATTTTTATTTACGTGTTAGCGAAAGAGCTTCAATTTGACTCCAATAAATGGTGAGGTTGGATAGTATTTTATTAGGTTAGTTCAATATATGCGGTTTAAGCTCAAAATTGCTACAACTCATTTCTAATATGAAAAATAAAATAAATTAAATTGCGCAGAATGTTTATTTCAGATATAGTTAATTATGGCCTTTTGTTTGAGGATACACGGCAGATTCTTCAAAGCTTCAAGCAGTGGAAGCTTTCGTTTGGTCGAAGAGATACAAAGTGGTCCATCGCCTTGCAAGGTTTAGTTTAACTATCGATCATCCAGTTTTTTGGTTCGAAGCACCTCCAAATGTAATTTCTAATTTATTGTTGGAGGATAGTACTAGTAGTTAATTTTAGTGCGGAACACTTTTTTTCCCTTCGATTGGATTAAAAGTCTCGACAAGGTTTTTATTGAGACCCACTATAAGTACCCTATCTTCAATTTTGTACGTATTTCACTGTTCAATGAATATCGTACTTCATCTAAAAAAATAAAAAAAATCACCATAGCAGTGACCTCATCTTTCTCAATAGGTCCGAGATTTCAAACTTCTGACCTAGGGAAGATGAGGTCGCCCACCTTCCTAACCTGAACATAGTGAAGCCCATAGTCAGCCCAAATTAGATCCTGTTAAACTTTGCGATCGACCTACTCCTAGCACTATCAGTCAGTTACAAGTCATGCTCTTGTAGCATCGCCAGGGAAGATGGGCTTTCTCATCAGTCTCTGTAGCTGCAGACTCTCTCATATAATCAATTATTTTATAGGAAACTAATGAAAATAATTCGAAAATTTTGAGTTTTAATGACAAGAACAAAATAAAAGATAAAGTGAATAATATACAGTTGCTCATCTTGTCCAAGTCTCTATTTTTGCTAAACATTCTCTTGATTTTATCGACTGTATTTCAAAGTTTAGTTTTTAAATTCAACATTAAATTTTACTTAATATTACTTCATCTTCAGATTTTACGATGAACAAATTATGAAAGAATTTTCCTATTTCGTTTTGTATCTTTTTTTTTTTGTCTTGAAGGTTTGTATCTTTTTTTTTTTGTCTTGAAGGTTTTCTGTCTTGATTTTCCTTAATGTCGATATCTTTAGGTCCTCTAAAGAAGTCCAAAACCAGGTGGCTAGGGCTTGTCTTCGACCACCTGTCTGATCATCTTCAACCCAAACCCAGGATCCTATTCCCCACCCTCCCTTCCTCTTATGTCTGGTGAACCTCACATGCCAGTTTTGGAGATGCAGGGGGAAATTTTTGTGGGTGAAGAAGCAAAAAACAGTCAAACTTGAGTGAAGCAAAGATTGCTTACCATACCCTTACTAGCTGCAAATTAGTGTCATCCGTTGGGTATTTATATTCTTTTTACTATGTTTGCTTAAAATAGTTATGTTTCTTAGATTCTTTTATTTATTAAAATTGTGTTTGTATTTGTTGATGCACAAAACCGGAGGGATCTTGGAACAACGTAAATCCGACTGTGAATTTTCAAGAAATGTAAATAACACAAGATGTATCGTGGTTCACCCCAATGTTTGGGCTACGTCCACACTGATTATTGTATTTCTCTGAGAGGATTGTGAGGGAGACAGCTTTGCTCTGAATATGAGAGGGGATCTCAAGCCTAAGAAATTGGCTTCCCTTAATGAGGAGAGTGATGAGTCCTTTTATAGAATAATGGCTCCTCATTTATTACATATTTGCCCATTCCTTTATTACATAATTACATTTGAGTCATCCGAGTATTTATACTAGGTATAAATACGGAGGCCTTAAGTATGGTACAAACAGTAGTCCTCCAAGTCTTCAGTCAAAAGAGTCTTTTGGCTAGAGACTTGAAATTTAGTCCATGTGTGAGCCGAAATAACTAGATGTCGTCTATAATTGATACTCGATATGAGGCGATGCCCAATCTGAAATGATGCTTAACTAGAAGTAGCATATGTTGCGAGGCTGCTCTGCTTGTGACTTATGTTGCCTTGGTTGGCTCGGCTTATGGTGTTTGAAGGTGAGGGAGTCCTTTTATAGAATAAGGGCTCGCTCTTCAATACATAAATATGGGCTAAAGTTGATGCTCGCGGCGAAGCAGTTGCTCAGTAGGCGGCGATGATCTCTAATGATGGTGAGGGAGTTCCTTTTATAGAATAAGGGCTCACTCTTCAATACATGAATAATGGGCTAGAGTTGATGCTCTCTAATGGTGGTGAATGAGTCATTTTTATAGAATAAGGGCTCACTCCTCAATATATAAATAATGGGCTAGAGTCCCCCAAGTATTTTTCATGAGGCTTAATATATGGTATATAGTGTAGTCCCCCAAGTCTTCGGCCAATAGAGTCTGTTGGTTGGAGACTTCAAATTGAATCCATGTATGGGCCGAAGTGGTGGTTGTTCGGAGGCGGTCTTTGTAGACCATGCACTGAAGCTTTGTAGGTGAAGCTTTGCAAGTTGAAGCTTTGAAGCTACAGCTCTGTAAATGAATCTTTTGAAGTTAGAGCTCTGTAAATGAAGCTTTTGAAGCTAGAGCTCTGTAAATGAAGATTTCGAAGCTGGAGCTTTTGTCAATGAAGCTTTTGAAGCTGATTGACATGAGTGATGCTCATGAATGTTTATGTTGATTGATATGAGTGCTCATGGATGTTGACATGAGTGATGCTCATGAATGTTAACATGAGTGATGCTCATGAATGTTGGCATGAATGATGATTATGAATGTTTATGTATGATTAACATGAGTGATGCTCATATATAATTTTGGAGTACTGGACGTACTTTTGATCACCTGGTTGGTGATAATAGCGGCAGGCTGTCGAATAATTTTGGGAGTACTGGGCATACTTTTGATCACTTGATTGGGGATAATAACGGCAGACTGCCGAATAATTTTTTGTAATATTGAACGTACTTTTGATCACATGGTGGGTCATAATAGAGGCAGGGTGCCAAATAAATTTGGAGCCATAGGGCTTGGCTCTTTTGAGCATATGGGTATTCGCCCTCCACACGACATTGTAGCCCATTATTTTGGGCTTGCCCTTTTTTTTTTTTTAAATTTTTTTATTACCCTCTGATGGGGTTTATACAGATGTCTTTGAAAGATAAGAAAAATAAATCACATCATACATCTGCCAAGAAAAGTAAATCACATCATTCTAGTGGGGTGTTGTTTGGACCCGATTTTACACCATCGGCCTAAGCGGTCGATGCCGTTGAGTAAGCATGGTTCTCAACCGTTGGATAAGAAAGTTAAGATATTATTGTTAAGAGATAATATTATTATTTTTAATCATAATAATTATCTCTTAACAAGTTATC